AACTTCAGCAGCTTGCTAGAGGGCACCCCAGAAGGCCATTTGGAGGAATGGGGATGTCCCTATATATCTATACCACCATACCATATATCACCATTCAGGAATTGAGTTGTGACATCTATGATTATGAATTTGATTCATATCTTAGTATAGCTAGGTAGTTGAAGATAATTATTATAACAATTACTTTAACTTAATTGTTTTTATAAGTAGGACTCTATAAACTATGTCCATATAAACACACAGTTTTAGATAGGTCATTGTAAGTTGTCATGCATACAATAACAAATTGAGCCAAACGGGGTAACTTGTTTTTATTCGAAAAATAATTTTAAAAAACATATTATACTAGTTGATTTTGGATATTATTTTCTGTATATAATTTTAATTGTGCCATGAAAACAATTAATTCCTTTAAAAAAGACTCACATATGATCACTAGAATTAATTGTTATACGAAAAAAAAGATATCCAATAATGTATTTGGTAAAAAAATTCAGAATCATAATATTTCACATATTATAAAAACAAAATTATATTTGTAACTAGCTAAAATATTAGATTAGATTCTAAATTCAAGGTTGACTCCTTGATTGGATTTTGTTGAGACATGTAAAATCATTAATGTAGTCTCACTCAACAGCTTAAGTTGTTCGATCCTTACCGCCCCCACTTTTTTCAAGTGGAATTTCTTTCTTCGCACATGTAGTTAGGTCTGTGCATTGTCCATCCTTTAAGTCCAGTGAACTCTCATGTGAAGAGGTGTGTTAAGATATATAAAACTATTAATATAATCTCACCTAATAACTTAAGCTTTTATGTTGATTTGATTCTTTACATATTTGAAATGAATTAGGCTTAATGGAACTCAAATGCAAGAGTTGATTCAAGAAATAGAAATAAAAAAATAAAAATTTAGAAAACTGGTGGAAAATGCAATTGCAGGACGCATCCATAGGCTGTTTGTTTTGCAGAGTAGAGAATGACCTGTCCATGTCCATCCATAACAAATCCAAGCCTTCAATTCAAAGGCACACAGAAGAAGTACCTATAGATAGAAAAATGCTCAAACTGTCACGCCAGCATCCAAGCCATGCAATCTCTGAACTCAGCTCTTATCCTATTCTTCCCTACACAAAACCCTAAAAAACTAGTTAAAAACCATGCATATAGCATCACAATTCACAACTAGCTACCTAGCCTAGTACATAAAAAAAATAAAAAATGCAGTTTGCTAAAATGCTTAAGTGTGACAGCAGAAGAACAAGGAAAATATTTTCAATATTCCCGTAATATTGAATACTCAATATATTATTTATTAAATATATCAAAAAATAACATTTTTATACTACCTCATTTTTATAGTTACTTCTACCTATATTCTATATTTTTTCTTTTTGGGTAAAAGAGTTGGTACTCCACCTAAAAGGAGCTCCAGAAGAAGGCATGAACTATTGAAGTATAGCTATGTATGTATACACATTTATACACACATTATTTTGTATATATTTTAATTTTAATTATCTAACTTTAGCCGGTAGTTTTCAATTTTTATTTAGTTATTTATTTTTTTGTTAACATACATATAGTTCTGTCACGTAACCAATGTCTAAGATGAAATGTTTGTTCCATACAGGAAGCACTTTTCTGAGGCATTGTATGTTATTGGATTTGGTGATTGCATCATAGATAGATAGTGTAGATGTGAACAGGTTGGAAATTGGGTGGTAATGATGGAGAAATGTCTCTGGATGCATAAGCATCTTCTCCTGTACATGTTATGTCTTTTTCTGTGGCTCTTGCGTCTCATGGGCCACTCTGCCACCATATGCATATTTTCCCTTCTGCGCAGAATCTCTCTCTAAATTTTCTCTCTGCTGCAAGCCCCCCTCTAAGGGGCCCCTCAATCCGTACAACTTGTTGCAGTGATTTTTTTTTTTTTTTTTTTTACCTTTTTCTTTTGAAGAAGCTATATTTAATAAAGGAGTTTGCATTTATCATTTTACATGACACAACAAATTTTTTTACACACACAACATTTTGTGGGCCCACACTTTTTGATACAAAAAAAAATTACGGCACGCAAAACGAATCTCTATAACATTATACAATTATTTTTTCTACAACGTAACTCTTATAAAACCCATTAATAAATCAGTCATCTTGAAACATAGGATTGAGCTAAATAAATTGGAGTATTATAAGCAATAGTATTTTTTTATTAAACAAAATGAATATTAACTCATTAGACGTGATATTTTTTGTCTCCATCCCCGGTATTAGCATCTCTCATGTAACCCCAAAAATAAGAAAATTGAATATTTTTCCATCAATAATACTTTTTTTGTATAGAGGTTACATATTTAAGTTTTCAAAATCCAAAAAATAAAAATCCTTAGTCTTTATTACATAAATATAAATGATAATAATAATAGTAATAATGGAATTAAATATTTATATTATGTTAAGTAATAAAATTTCATTTTATTAACCCGTGTATTTTGATTAGAATTTATCAATGTAAAGTCAAAAAAATAATAAAATTAAAATTTTTATGAAATAATGTCTTAAAATTTTTGACAAAGAAATAAATATGGGAAAAATGTGTATCATCTTAGAGAAGGTAAAGTTGTGTCATTTTAAAAGAGAAAAAAAAATAGATAAAAGAGGAGAGAGAGTTGACAAAAAAAATAAAAGGTGTGGATCTCACCTCTTTGTGAGAGTGAAAGGATATAAGTTGTGTCATTTAACAGGATAAACACTTTTCCCAATAAATTTTTTTACAAATTTAAACTACTTAAAAATTTTCATATTAAATATTTAATGTTTTGAATATATTAAGTGAGGAAGATTATACTTACAACTATATCTTAATACCATTGATTTTCGTCAATCAACGGTTATCATTTATTGTGATTTAATAATTAATTAATGAATTTAATTTGCGAAAATTATAACCGTTGATTGACAGAAATTAACAGTGATAAAATATGATAGTAAGAGATTGTAAAAAAAAAAATTGCACGTATAACCTTCTTATATTAAGTATCTTAATTTTTATTTTTATTTTTCTTAAACATATTATAGAGAGAATAGTTAGTTAGTAAATCTTTAATAATAAAAGCCAGAAAATGTGTGCAATAAAGTGAGAAAAGGCACGCAATTTAAGGCACCAGCCCATTCATTTTCATTCATTCTCTTTCTATCGAGTCAAAAGGGGTCTTTCCCATGACCCTCTAGGTGAGTGCGCACCATACACACCGGTGTATTTTAGCAGGTAGTTCCTTACTGCTGGCCGTACCATACTTATCGTACTCATCGTTCTAGGCGTAGCTGTGCCAATTTGACTAGGTCAAAAAATATCCCACAGCTTGTGACGATTAAAAAAAATTAAGAATAAAACTTTTTTTTTGAGTCCCTAACAAAAAAAATATATTTATATTAATCTTTTTTTAGAGACTAAATTGAATCTTCATTAAATTTCTGAAGAATCAAATTTTCAAAAAACTGAAATTATAAATGGACCAAAAGTTAATTTTTTTTTTTTTTTTGTAAAGAATAAAAGTGAGAATCATATTTTTTATTAGAAACATAAAAAAACTTTACACAAAAATTAATTACCTAATCTGGAATTGATTAAAAACTTTGGACAAAATTTCCATATGATCATAGGTTTATACTAAAGCATTTAACAAGATAAAGATTATTCAACATTGAAATATCAAATGTTACAAATTAAATTTACATCGTTAGATTAAAACTTAAAGCAAAATATAGATGATAACGAGAAATACTCTTATCCCTCCGTCAAGTATACTTAGTAATAGTTCAATAAAAGTATATATTAATAACGGGATTTCTTGTCTCTAAAAATATTATTTTATTATACAATATTGAAGGTAAAAATATTCATTGAATACTAGTCCTTAATTAAATGATTAACTGCATTTTCTGCAAATTCTTTTAAGAACTACACATAATTCGGTTCATCCAATATTGATTCAGATTATTGACATTTTACCTAAACCAATTTTTTCGAAAACCAAGAATTTTTTGCCTGAACCTTGAATTTGGAAGTAGGAAAAACCTAAACCAAATATATTGTAGTGTAAATGACTCAAGGATAGAACCAAATGACAAGAATTTACAATTCTTTGACACATTCAAGCAAAATAAATTGGAAAATAATGCTAAGAGGATTATAGTTATTTCCATCTCAAGTTTTGTTGTTTATATTGTTAATTATATTTAACAATAATTAGCCGATACTTTTTCATCATTGTTAGATGTAATCTTGTTAACTAACATATCAACTCTTTAAGACAGAACTAAATAAGTAAAATCACTGCCACATATATACTTAATTTTCATAAAAGTATGACAATTATGTAACTCACGCCCCTCTCCTAAAAAGTAAAAACTTACACAAATGGCATGAAACTAGTTTGATACTTCGGTTGATGTGAGATCAAATATAAAGAACTTAGAAGTAACGTTAAGATGCTAAGTAGGGAAATGCCTCATCTTCTTTGTCGTTCTTGTTTGTCTTGATGGGAAAAGACATAGATGTCTCTGTTCTCTTTCCCCCATCTCATTCAATTAATTTATTGTCTTTTATTTGCATGACAAACTGAATCAATTTTCTATGAAGATTCGGGCACGACAATATCCTTGGAGTCAAAATAAAAGTACCCATATGCTAACTTACCATATGATAATTTTAGATGAATATTGAGTTACTGGCCAAAGGGGGATATGGTAATTTGCTCTTTTTTCTTGGTTTTGTACGAACCTCGTGATTGGTTTTTATGCATTTTTTTTTTCTCATTCAGTATACGTACCCGACCTACTAAACACTGAGAAGGAAATAACAGCACCCCTGACATTCCCTTCTTTCAACAGAAAACAAGTTAACATTATCAAAATACAATAATCATTCAAATAACTCTGCCATCTCATCATAGTTTTCCTAAACTAATGTTTTCTTAATCTCAGCATTTCGATCATTCATTCCACAAAGCAAACATAGGAACTTGATTGACCAAACCCAAGTTTCCAATCCTGTTGGTGTTCATGTGGTCATTTTCATTGTTTCCATCATCATATTTTTGTCCATGCAGGGTGAAGTATTCATGTTCATAATCCACTCCACTGACTCCAAACTCATTGGATAATCCCACAGAACACTTGGGGCTTTGAGGAATCAAAGCATTCTTGTTGCTTGTTGATGATTCAGTGACATTATTGGTATTTCCACTCTCATTCTGTGGTTGCTCATCACTGTTGGTTGCATTCCACACCATGTTGGATAACTCATCAGAGCGTTCACCTTCAGTTATAGCAATAGCATGTGGCTGAGAAGGTGTTGATGAACCACACGAATTGAAGTCCTCACCAGTGGCTGGAGCTGAGTCTTTAGGAGAACGTTTTGCAAGATCTCCAGCAATGAGGGTTGAGCTTGAGCAAATTCTCTTCACATCATACCTATTTATGTCAAAGTTGGTCACAGCACTTGTTCCTCTGAACTTGATTGCTGCTATATCATATGCTTCAGCAGCTTCTTCTTGTGTACCTACATATCATTGTTGTAGTTAACTAATTAGAATGACTAAAGGAATGCAAATTATAACAAATGGGGAGAATAATAATAAAAAAGGAGACTTAAGATACTCACATGAAAACTAGACATATAATATATAGTACAAGGCATCTATCATACATGATTAAAGGAGGAAAAAGGAAGCTTAAAAGTAAAACAAAGACAATAGAACTTACTAAATGTACCAAGATACAAGTCCTTGTTTCCTGCAACCCTTCCTATCCGAGCTTGCCACCTTCCATGTTGATGGTGTCTGAAATGATACAAGGGGAAAAAGGATAAATGTTGGACAATAATTGTCCACTTAATTAAAAAGCTGAAATTGCAGTAAATAATTTATGGAAAACTTTACTAATATTAATGATAAAGCATATACCACTTTAGGCCATACCTTGTCACGCCTCTGTACACAGATGCCCCTCTTGAAAATCCACTGCTCTTCCTGCCCAAAGGAAACAAAAGGACAATTACCTCCATATTGAATATGAAGGGAAAAGGAAAGACAGAAAAAAAACATAAGAGAGAAAGAGAATTTACTAAGATCACATGGACAAAATTTAATGGTACCTTCTTAAATTGGCGACAAATTCTTGCCTGGTCATGTGCTTCATCTCTTCAAGTTCCTTCTCATAAGTGCTTAACTGAGCATTTAAGAAGCAGTAGACATGTAGAGTGATTACAGTTACAATAGTTCAAGCTACATAAATTAAATACATAGGTAAAAATATATGACTTTTCTAAATAATTTAACTTGCCCGCTTTTATTTTCCCCTTCTATTTTGAACTGTTGTGAGTCTAAGAGCAAAGGTAAAAACTTTTTCCAAAGGAGAAAGAAGTGTACTAGGTTCCAGAAACCTTACAGGGAAATTTATGTGAGTTGTTGGACCCCAATACTTGAGTGCAGCTAAGTCATAAGCCTTTGCTGCTTTTTCTTCCTTATCATAGCCACCTAATAATAATAGAGAGATATTGGTTGCCAAAAGTGATAAATTATTTTCATAAAGCAAGCACACCTTCCAACGCTCCATATTAAGCAGCGTATCTAACCACTTACCGTGCAATGGTAAACAGTAAGATTTACAAAGATGGCAAAGAAGTAAAGAGATATAGCCAATGCACGTAGGAGTGTCACTTACCAAGGTAAACTGTATAGATTTGAAGAAGCCATGAAAGGAGAAGAATCCAACCATTGCATGAAGCAAACCGTTAGTATATTCTCTTTCAAAACAAGAGAGGAAAGAAAAAAAAAAGGAATAAATATGGAAAAAAGGTTGAAGGACTAGTTTGGTTCTTGAACATGCTCCCAAAAACTTGCTTCCTTGGTTTGGTCAATGACACAATAAACCAAAATAAAATAGAAAACAACAGCATGTTTTTCTCTCTCACCTTGCCTTCCTTTCCTTGTTTGCCCTTCCTTTCTGCAACTATTATCCCACAAGTGGGCCTCATATCTCCCAGTCCATCTATGCCTAACAAATCCATGAACCCCAAAAAGGTGTAAAAAAAACAAAAAAGAGCAAAATTCAACAAAATAAAACAAGAAATCGAACTGTGCAATTAACAAGATTACAAGAGAATTCATTAATCCTACCTTGTAACACCACGATATTGAGATGTTCTCTGCCCAAAAGTATCAATAGATTTGCGAGGCACAGGTTCTCTAGCTAAAGATTTTGACATGGACCTTTTTCGAGTGTCATCATTCACTTGTGCAGGTGAAATTGCATCCACCCCATTTTGTACACTGGGGCTCATAGTCAGGGACAAAGATTGGAAATTACACCCATTTCCCTCACCTGAAGGTTTTCCATCAGAAAACTGAGTTTGTGCCAACCATGACTTGTACATGCCATTGCTTGGAATGAGGGCATGTGGGTTATCATTATATGCATGGAAAGAGTGGATCAAGGAAGAAGGATTTGTGAGATTCTCTCCAGTTTCAATCTCTGTATTGTTGCAAAAGCTTGGGGCCACGTTAACATTGATTTTGGAAATACTATTCTGGTTTTGGTTTTGGTCATGTTGGGATCCTTGGCAGAAGACTTTGGTCTCAGCCAAAGGTGAGTTAGAGTAACAACCCAAGAAGTCTTCAAGCTTTGGTCCTTCTTCATTTGAATTTCCTCCAGCTATTGCATTTTCATATCTCCATTCTGTGACCACCAACCAATATTGGAATGTGAAAAAACCAAAACCCACATAGATATACACATTTCATTGCTAGCAAAATAGCAAACTTTATAAAAGAATCAAGCAAAAGGGCACAAAAGGAAGTGTTTTGGCCAACATGCAAATGGATGAAAACAAAATAGAGAACAAATTGAAACGACTCAGAGGCCCACCCAATAAATAACACATAATTACTCTCAAACTGGGAGAGACAACAAGTTTTTATGAGAATGCAAATACAATAATGGAAATGAAAGAACAAGAAAAGAAAAGAAAAAAAGAAAAAAAAAACTGAAATATGATGATGATAAGAAGATAGGTTTAGTATGACATGCAATACCTTCTTCAGGTGCAACAGAGTGCCTAAAGGAATCAGCAACACAAAGTGAACCATCAGAGCGTAAAGGCATAACAGATAAGTGAGGATGAGAAGGATGAGGATGAGGATGAGGATAGCCTCCACCATGGTCTTGATTTTCTCTCCCAAATTCTCCATCAATCCTCAAGTGTGGAGTCAGAGAGAACCCCAACCAATTGCTCATATTAACCCTTTTTTTCTAAAGAAAAACAATCCCCACAGCACAGACTTACACAGTAACACTTACACCCCACACCACAGATCTTTCTCTCTTTCTCTCTCTCTCTCTCTCTCCAAAAATCTAAAGACCTTGTTTTTCTCTATGCAAGTTTGGAATGTTGGACTTTGAGCTCAAACTTCAAAGCTAGTAATGGTTGGGATGGGGTTGAAATTCTCTATTTTCTTTATAAAAAATAAAATAAAATTTGATGGTATATATCATAATAGTCATAATCATATGAGCTTGATATTGTTGTTTATTTTAATTTTATTATTTTTTTAATATATGGTTTATGGTTTTGTTGTTTGAGGTGCAAGTGAAGGGTTGAAAACTTTAGACAAGCTTCTCTCGTCTTATATTCTCAGCTCTGTCTCTGTTTTCTAATGAAAGTGTTGGGTTTTGTGCCATCTCTTTCATTTCTTTCTCAGATTTCTGCAGAGGTGGCCACGGCATGTAGCAGTGTAACCAAATATATATATATAAAAATATTCAACAGAGAGAGAAGAGATGCCAAAATATCCCTTGCTATGATCAAGTACGGCCAGGTACTAAATAGTATCACACTTCGTAAGCCGCAAGATCAGGATAAATTGTCAATATGATTTGATGAACGGTCAGGATTCAAGAAAGATGTAAAATACTTTGGTATGCGGAACAGTGAATTATAGTGAACTTGAACCCCTGTAGCAAGTAATTGATGATTCCATTAAATTTTGTGTGTCAAATTTTGGGATTAATATTTTTTATATTATATGAGATAATTTTATTTGCTATATATACATAAAAATTTATATGAGGCGGAAAAATAAAATGGAATGCAGAAAAATGGTTTGCAGTAAACTAAATGATATTAAAATCGATTCAGTTATTGACCCGGTCGAGGTAGGATTATTGGTTCAACCAACGAATTACTGGTTAAACCACATGACTCATGACCCGATGATTATACGTAAATTTATACCTTATATTAAAAAAATTATAAACATACTCAAAAAGTTGAAAAAAATTAATATAAATTTTAAATATTTTAATATAAAAAATAATAAATTATACATTATTGTCTAATAAAGGATCAAATAAATAAATGTGTTCATCATCCGATCCAAACCGATTCAAGCGGCGGTGACCGAACCAAAAACCAAATTAACCGAAAACTGAAAACTGACAAAAAAAATCGCAAAATTTAATTGGGTTGGATCAGTTCTTGGATTAGTTGGTGAAAATCGATCACATCCAAACCGATCCAATAACTTTTCAACCTTACCATCTACCTATTTGGGCATTTACCCAATCATAGCCCAAAATCCATATAGCAAAATTCTAAGTGCCTGTTTGGATCCTCTCTTTTTTAAGCTACAAGCTACTTATAAGCATAAGCTAGGCCAAACAGATTTTGGGAAAAGCTCTTATAACGAAAAGCTCTTTTTTTTTATAATGAAGAAAAAAGCTGAAAACTAAAAGCTCCTAGGAGGAGCTTTTTTTTAAGCTCTTATTTGTTTTTCTTGAATTGTGTGGTTTTTTTTTTTTAAAATGAAGAGTGATAAAGATAGAAAGAGATAATTTTCTTGAAATATGTACTTTTAAGTAATTTTTAAGCTAAAACTTTTATATAATTTCCAAACAGCTTTTAGCTTATTTTTTTAAGCTCTTTTTTTAGCTTTAGCTTATAAGTAGCTTCTAGCTTAAAAATAAGATGATCCAAACATGCTCTAAATCTAAGATCCATTAACCCATCATGTTGGAGAAAGTGGGTTGTGCTTTATCTATATTATGCTCTCTCTTTTTTGGTAAGATACAAAATATATTTTTATTACATAGGCTATTGTTGTACAGCAGCCCCTCTATAGGATGAAAATTTGGATTATGTCGTATCTCAAGCAATCATATTATAAATTTTTTGTTGGAGGTAAGAGATGGTAATTTTGTTGTATAATGCTTTTAGATTGCACAATAATCATCATACAAATCTTAGGCTTTTCAAAAAATCGAAAATCGATTCAATCCAAATCGAATAAAATTGGATTGGATCGGATCGGATTTGAAAAAAGTCCAAATCGAATGGATGATTACATGATTAAACCGAAGGGATTGGATCAGATGATTTTTGTTTTCAAAATCGATCCAATCCATACCGCGAACACCCCTACAAACAAACATATAATGCTTGTGATATTGATGTTTCAGGTTCAGTAAACGACATATCTAACTATAAATCAAATCAAAATTTCTTGCACAGTACATAACTGAGATAATATTAGTATTATAGGTACATAACTTATGTAAGTCAATAAGCAACAAATCACTTAAATATGTCGATTATGAAAAAAAATTGGAATTTTTTTTTAAAATAAATCGTGTCGGGTCACCGATTTTTACCAAAATCGGCTGGGTCGCACCAGTTCTGGTATTTGGTAAATCCAACATATGACCGAACTAGTTAGATGATCGCTTCACCGAGTCCAGGTCAACCCGGCTAATCTGGTCCGATTTTTACAACATTGAATAAACTTGGGCCCAATAGACAGTAATTGATGATTCCATTAAATCTTGTAGATTAAATTTTGGGATTAATATTGTTTATATTATAAAAGATAATTTTATCTGTTATATGTAACACCCCGTATATATCCGGTAATGTTATCATACTATCGTATTAAGCTGCGCTTAATTAAAAATGCGGAATATCTTTTTCTTTTCAATTATGAAGTCATTATCATTACCAACTTGCTTATTAATCAATTAATAAAACATCGCCTGTATGCAATTGCAATAAAATAGCTAACTGAAATACCTTATTAATTAAAATAACATAAGTATGTCTCTAGTCACGGAGCTACAACATGTAGACCAGACCAACTAGTAGTTTATACAACTCGACTCAAAAGTACTAACAACATAGTGGCATGGACAACTCTCATGCTCACCCAAATAAGGCAACAAGTCCCAACATAAGTCTCAACGATAGCAACATAATATAAGTAAACTAAGACATCAACTCAGTAGATATAACCAGCATCCAACATGTCAGCATAAATAACAGCAATATCATCAACTAAGCTCTGGCCTTCTGCCGCCAGAGGCATCAACCCCCATACTACCTGAACCTGAAATAAGCATTCCCCAAACGTGGGGTAAGATCTCTAAACAAGAAATCTCAGTAAAACAAGGGGTCCTCAAGGATCTTCCACCCCAAGTTCACTTACATGTGCAATATAAGTTCCAAAACAGTTTAACAATATCATTTCCAAAATAGTAATTTCAATGCATGTTCATGTTATGGCATTTATATCATGACCGTATAATCTCTTGCTCAACGAGCTAAATACTAGAGCTCCTTGATCATGTGATGTATGTAAGTGCGGTTCGACTGGCCAGGGAACATGATAGGGCTTATACACATCTGTTACCTATCAACATGAGGGAGGCTGCCTCGTGCCTTTCACACCAGGGTGGCTGCCTGATCGTACAAGTACTAACATCACATTCATACATTGCATATGCCTTGCACACCAGGGTGGCTGCCTGATCGTACAAGTACTAACATTACATGAACAACTATATCAACATGTCTCATGCGTATATCAATGCATATATCATTTTCATAAAAGCACACATGCATAAAAACCATTCCCCCACGGGGTATGGTGGAACCAATACTGGCTAAACCGAGGACACAAAAGCTTACCTTGCAAGCTAACACCCAAAGCCAAGAGTCCACAGCTCAAAGTCCAAACACAACAGATTCACAATCTGTTATGGACCAACAATACATCAACAATCATACTCTACAAGTATACAACATAAAGACAACGCCTTTTCATTACGTTTTACGTCTTAAGGCTCCTCACCAAGCCATAAGCCCTTAAATCACTTGATTCTGACTTAGTTCATTAATTACAGAAGCTCAACTTCATCAATCTAGGGTCCATAGACCCCCAATAGCCTACTGTGAACAATACAGCTACTGTTCTTTGAAATTCCAGAATATTCGGATATTCCTCGGGGACATATCCGGATATCTAATATACGGATATACATCTGGCAATATCCGGATATAAATATCTGGATATTTCACGAGCAAATATCCGGATATTTCGCGACAGAATGCAGTTTCTGCATTTCGCGAAGATATCCTTCCAAGGTTCCATTTTTAACACTTCCAGAAGCTTAAACATGCATCTTAAGGTCCATTTATGTTCATATGACAGTTGGTTACTTGTTTAACTCATTAAACATACCAAGACATCATTTTTAACCCATTAAACTCATGATCAAAGGTAGAACCACTTACTCAATGTTCAAAACAGAAAAGCAAAGGCTCATGGAGCTCTCCAAACAGCTCCAACAATGCAGACCAAGAAGGTGCACGAAAATGTCACACCAAAGGTTGATTCTTGCACCAAAAGATCACAACTTGAAGCTCAAAAAGCCAACTCCAAGGTTCCCACAACCAGAACCACCAAGTCAGCCCCTCACACCTCACAAGGGAGTGACTAAACTCAGAATAAAAGCACTCTCCCCACTCACACTACACTCCACTAAGTGTTTAGAAGAGAAGTGTGAAGAAAATCAAAGGAAGAAGCTTCAAGGCTTGAAGCCAAGGGAAGGAAGACAAGGGAGCGAAGGTTCTGGTCAGCCTCCACAAAACTCACGTAGGAGAATCTGTTTTCTAGGGTTTTGTGCCGTTAACAAGCCTATAAATAGTCACTTAACCACTTAACACACAGTATTAACTTTAATTGTTAAGCTTAACATTTTAATCCCAAACTTTGTATTCTTAACCTACTCAATTTTACAATAATTATCATATTTTTATTATATTTTTCGGAGCACCTTTCCGGTACGCGCTTTTCAAAGCCAGTACCAGTTTCTGGCACCAGTTCTTATTATTTTGACTTAAAACTCGTTTTACAAGTCCTATATATTATTCTAGTAATTATCATGCACTTATTATAATTTTTTGG